ATGACGAGAACCTCAACGGTGATGCAGTAGAAAACGAAGGTGGCACGGCAACAGATTTTGGAGCACGCGAAGAAGACGGCAGGCTACCAGCCCCTGGTCTTCAAGAAGTTGAGGAGGAGATCGGTCGGCTGAAGAACAACAAAGCAACTGGTGCAGATCAACATCCAAGTGAGCTATTAAAATAATGGGAGGAGTGGATGGCAGGTGTCGTATGCCCAATCTACAATAATGGCGACAAGTTGGATTGCTGCAACTACCACGCGATCACAATGCTGAGCGCCGCCTACAAGGTACTCTCCCAAATTATATGCCGCCGCCTGTCACCATTTGCAAGAGTTTGTGGGGCAATACCAGGTGGGATTCATGGGTTCATATTCGCGATTCGGCAGGTTCTGCAGAAATGCCCCGAATACAACTTGCTTACACATCATTTGTTCATCGATTTCAAATCCACATACGACACAATCGATCGTGATCAGCTATGGCAGATTATGCACGAGTATGGATTTCTGTATAAACTGACGCGATTGAACAAGGCGACGATAGATCGAGTGATGTGCGTGGTTCGAGTATCGGGGACACTCTCGAGTCCCTTTGAATGTCGAAGAGGGCTACGGCAAGGTGAACTTTCATGTCTGCTATATTACATCGTATTAGAAGGTGTGATCAGAAGAGCTGGGATAGACACGAGTGACACGATCTTCAGAAAGTCCATCCAGCTTCTTGGCAAGGTGGATCGACCAAGTAGAAGGCGACCTGCAGACCCTTCGCAGACTACGAGGCTGGCAAAGTCTGGCCATGGATCGAGTAGAGTGGATGAAACTTCTTCGGACAGCAGCGGACAACAAGGCCTTAGCCCGATTGCAAGCAAGCAAGCCATAAAATTGATCCAAGAATGAAAAAACCGTGGAACTGTGATATTAGAATGAATTTGGGGTTTTAACATAAACATGAACCCGAATGACCATGGGACAGTCCACCGGAAGATCCGTAAAAGTGGTCCATCTATGATAGAGCTCCGTAGTTTTGTTGAAAACACTTCGAACTGTGATATATGAAAGAATTTAGGGTCGAGACATCAACATGAACCGAATCATCCGCAAAAGTGGATCATCCATAAAACTGTGAAAAACCCGTAGTTTTTTTCGAAAACTCTTGGAACTGCGATTAAAGATAGAATTTAGGGTCGTGACATAAACATGGATCCAGATGGCCATGGGAATGTCCTTCAAAAGATCCGGGATACCCGAAAATTTGTCATACTGTGAAACTGATCCTAGAGCTCTGCAGTTCTTTTTTTGAACACTGTGATATAAGAAACCACAGCTCCTAATGTCTTTGGAAAAAAAAACCGCGGTGCCCTAGGATCAGTTTCATTGATTGACTTCTTTACGGATGTTCTGGACTTACCAGAGGATGGCCCCATGGCCATGTGGGTTAGACTGATGCAAATTTTGACATTTTCGCTCCACAGTGCTCAAATGGTTCCAAATCGGGTCCTGATTAGTCTCCCAAAATTTGAACTCATTAGATAAGAAACTGACTTCGCACAAACCATTTGAAGTTTATATGGAAATTACTATGGGAAAACCAAATGTTTTGTTCATATCCATCTAACAATTTACCATATCGCTCTGCTTTAAAAAATGATAACTAAGCTCGTAGAAAATTTTCTTGCGGACTTTAACAATAACTTTTTTATTTGAAATTTCTCATGAAAGTTATCTTCTAGAGAATTTTAAAACTCTTTTAGACAAATGTTTTATACTTGAATTTGTTGCCTGTATCTCTTCTAGTAAAAAAGATATACCCAAATATAGTAAAAAATATGACTAAATTCAAATTGATTTTATACGAGTTTAAAAAATAACATACCTCCAATTTTATCATATTATTGAGAATAACGTACGCCCTTTCAAATGCCGTAAAAATTTTTTTTTTTTGTTTGCCCCAACCAGAAATATTAACATTTGAAAAGTGCATATTTTTAGTATAAAAACGTCAATAATTCTTGATAGGCGAAAGATATTGACAAGCTTTGTTCAGCAAAAACTTGCGCCTTCTTAAGATCTAAAAGTTATCCGAAGACACCTTTGCCGAGAAATTTGAAATAAGAAAACTAGAACAAAAAAACTGTTTTTTCAAGAGCTCAATTCAATAAAATAGCTCTAAATCGGCCAATTCGGTCGAAAAATGTATACCTTAATTTATTCAAACAAAAAAGTTAGATTTTTGATTTTAATGATAATAGGAACCACCCTAGAATTCATTGTCATTAAAATGAGGGCCTAGCTATAAGGAATAACTTTGTAGAAGAGACTTTTAGTCTAAAGTTTCAATTTCAGGCTCAAAACATATCATTCCACCTAAATTTGCATTCTGGACCACTGTGCACTGGACGTTCCGATGGCCATCTGGGTCCATGGCCCAAAGTCATTCTTATATCACAGATCCTAATGTTAAAAAAAAACCGCAGAGCTCTAGGATCAGGTTCATGGATTGACCACTTTTACGGATGTTCCGGATTTTTCGAGGACCGTTCCGTTGTCTCCAGGATCCATATATAGGAACCATGACTGTATTCTGGCTAATTGTGAACATTTTTGCCCATTAATCTAAATTACAGATCTTGCGACACTTGCAAAACCCTAAAACCACACCTTTCAAAAAAACGTGTAACAACTCTTTTCGCTTTTTAAAAAAGTAGAAGACTCTATTTTCAAACTTTTGACAATCAAAGTTATCTACAAACCCAAGGAATTCTAAAGGTACCACAATTTTTGAAATTTATTAAGAAATGGCTAAGTTGTGCCGTTGCAAACTTGCTGTTACACGTTTTTCGGAGGCTTCGTAGTCGGCGTAAAGTTTTTTACCCACCGTATTCGGAGTGTTAAGTAGAGCTTTACATGTTTGTTTGTTACATAATTCATGCACCAAGTGGATTAGCGAGTTTTTGGGTGGTGCTGTGTTTTGTTCGGTCCAAAAAAAATTAAACCTCTGAAAATGGGTTGGAGCGTTTTTGTGTAAATGAAAGAATGGAAAAAAATAAATAAAAGGTATAGGGAAAATGCAGGTAATGTCAGCCTAAGTGTCCCTAATTTGGACCCATACATAAATTTAGCAATCGACTAAATTTTCAATAGCAACCAAAAATATCCATTAGTAACGTCCCAATAACACGTTCATCTAGATAAAATTGATAAATAGCATATTTTTAGCGACGAGCCCAATCTTAGATCCATAGGCCAACATTAGAGACATTTCCCCTATTTCTGAAAATTTGTAGTTCTAGTTCCTCATTATGTGGGTGAGGAAATTGACATGTCAAGGAGAGGAAATGAAGTGAATTGAGGAAATAAGTTACATTTACTGTATTTTAAATCAATATCAAGAAAAATGCACAAGAGGATCACTAAACATCTCAACGTAGTCTACGTAAACCATGCGGTCATGTCTTGTACACAATCCCACCAATTTTTTATTCCATAATGTTGGAACTAATTCGTTTAACATAACAACATTACTAACATATTACTATACAGAAGACGATGCAACAAATTAACAAATAATACTTCTTCTGCCTACTTTCTAATATGGTTCCTGGGATTCAGATTGGCTCTTGCACATTGAACGGAGAAGAGAATTTTTTGTAAGAAATTTGAATATCGAAATTTTTAAAGTTTCTGTCAAACCTGGCAAAGCTGCTAACAACCCAAATAACCATAGGCACGTTATTTCGCCTATATATGGGCCTCATCAGAACTGGCAAACACTGGTGCAGCCGTTGTTCAGTAGCATATAGCCAGAAAGGCGAAATAACGTGCCTATAGTTACTTGGGAATGGTCCAAACGCCATATTTAGGAAGGCACAAATGTTTACGCTTAAACCGTTTGAGTCAGGTGCATGGAGTATTCCGTAAAGTTTTCATTTATTTTTTGGAATCTATTTTTAGTTAAGTGGCATTAGGGTGGTCTATATGGTCAGAGAGATCAAAATATATTTGTTTAGTCACTTGACCAACACAATTTTTGATAAAGGTATAACTTTTCTATTTTTATAATAAACTTACCCCTCGTTGGCGATACTGCCATACAATGAAACCACTGGAAGCGGCTCCCGTTTTGATGAAAGATACTTATTGGATAGCGGAAGATAAAGTGTTTGTTGTGTTGTAACTTTTGACTATACTTTTAAGATGTTTCGTTTAGTAAACAAGAATCCTCGGCTCTGTAAAGCTAATTCGATTGATCATTATCAAATAAATTATTTAACAAAAAAAAATTTTTTTTTTGGGAATCATGGGAGCAGCTGCTATCAGATTCTCTGCGCTCAATAAAGTGCAAGAAAATATATAATCAGAAAAGATTCTAATTCAGATTTGTAATCATATCCTCTACTTCAGTATGGTCTTTTTGAACGCATATATTTACGCTTTAGCCTATTGTTTGTCAAAAGTAATAAAAATCATGTTGAATACATACATAATAATTTATTGTGCATTTGTAAAAAAACGGGAATGGTACTTCACTACATCAATGGACAGCGAGAAATAACTTGTGGGTTCATTCCCAGGTCTTTCCACTTACGATATACTCTCCTTCCCCGCTTAATCAGCGCACTTTTGAGAACACAATCTTCTTACTTTAGTAAGTATTTAATTAACTATACAGGCTTAGAAATTATCGTTGACTTCGGTGAATTTCACCAAAGACTCAACAGCTGAACTCAAAAGCTAAAATAAAAATCTGAAAACTCATCTGCAATGACAAAAATTGGTAATTTAAAAAAAAAGATTGATGTCAGTTTTTAATTATTTTTAAAAAATAGGCTTAAAAAGAAGGTTAAAGATTTACCGAACTTTCAGCAGTTTGAGATTTCGGTTAAATCAATACCGAAGACGACAATAATTTCTGACTGTGTATAATTCCTATCTTTACCAGTTGTAAGTACTTGACCAGGACAGATCTCGACAATTGAATATCATTTTCATCTTAGTGTTGCAAATTGAATTACCTATTGTTGCTAATTGGAACATATTTAACTAAAACTCTGTCGCATCAATGATCCCTAACGTTACAAATCACTCCCCCGCAAACCGGTCCTACTCCATTGGATAATGCAACCTAATTCTTTCATCACAATACCCAGCAGACTAAATCTCCTCTCTTCCAAATGGATAGTCCCGATGGTGGCTGTAATATTTCAATGGCACCGCCCGCTTTCCATCGTCAAACTGGTCCATCAGGGCGACCTCATCTGGTGTCAGCCTAAAGTCAAAGATGTCAATGTTCTGTAACGTCTCGGCACGGTTCGACGGCTTCGGTATCGGTATTGTGCCAATCTCAATCTGATGGAAGGGAGCAAAATTAACAACGTTAGAACTTCATCAGACAGACAGAGCACGGCGATAATGGATGGGTGTCAGGTGTGCCGCTGAATCGGAAGGCATAAATCAGAAGGCAAATATTTACCAAGTAGCGGAGCACAATCTGGGCCGTTGTCTTTCCATATTTGGCGCCGATGGCCGTCACATTGGGATGTAGCAGGACATCGGCTGTCACTCGACTGGAGGAATCGCATCGATCAACGCGACCCATGGGACTGAAGGCTGTCACCGTAATGCCTAGATGGCGACAGAACTGGATTAGCCGCTTTTGCGTAAAGCCGGGATTGCATTCCACCTGATTGGTAGCGGGTTTGATGCTTGCACTAGACAACAGACGTTGCAGTTGTTCACTGTTGAAATTCGAGACACCTATACTGCGAACTTTTCCACTGTGCACTAGCTCTTCCATGGCTTTCCAGGTGTCACAAAAGTCAACATCAGAGCAAATCACTTTCCCGGAGCTGTCATACGCGATGAGGTCCTGTTCTTGAAATCCCCTAAAACCCAACCCCATAGGCATGTGCATCAGGTACAGGTCAACGTAATCCAAGTTCAGCTTTTCCATCGATCGTTTGAAAGCTTCGGCCACATGCTGCGGGGCGTGAAATGAATTCCATAGCTGAAATTTTTTTTTCCGATTTATTCGACATAGGAAACAGACCGCTTTTTCTCTTCGAACGTACCTTTGTTGTTATGAACAAATCCTCCCGGGCGACAAATCCTTCCCTTATCTTTTCGTTGACGGCTTGGCCTACCTCACACTCGTTCCCGTACCTGTAAGCGGTATCAATGTGACGGTAGCCGATATCGATTGCCTGCTTGATAGACTTGACTCCTTCCTCGCCTCGGGTCTGAATATAGTGGAGGTAAATAGCGTGGATCCATGAATGAATTACAGCCCACAAACTCACCAAGTACGTTCCCAGTCCAATCAGCGGAATGTCGAAACCATTGGAAAATTTCACCCGTGGCACACGAGTCCACATTTTGCGTCCATGCGCTGTAGCTCCACAAGACCGAACACCATACACTTGTCACTGGTCAGATTGTGCCTATTTGGTGCGGAAAAACTAGACAAGGCAACGATTGGCTGTTCTAATCACAGTTTGGTTGTATTGGAGAGTGGTCAGCGTATCGAAAATTTGCCGGTAGTCAATATGCTGGGATTAGATGAACAAGCTGATACTTATCAGAGTTTGTGTCAGAAACTGGTTTTTCGATAAGAATATTGACGATAGAGTTGTTTATGGGAATTGTGCATTTCGTCAGCTGATAACGTGTTGGGAGCCCGGGGCTATATTTCAACGTTGCACTTTTATGAATAAGAGCCACAGGTAAGCTTCACGTGGACAGTGCTCTTGTTTTTTTTTCTATATCGTTGAATCATGCATCAGCACGAATGTTTTACATTGTAGTCAATTTGTCATGCCAAAAACCAGACTTCCTGTAGCCAATCTTTCATGATTTATCATGATTTGATGACCATCACGTCCATCGTCTTCTTCAGACTATGCTAAGAAAGCAAAACCAAACGGATTATTGTCTTGAAACCCAGTACCGTAATAGATGACGAGGTCTAGCTTTGAATATTGATATGCTTGTTTTGGTAAGTGAACACACAAGCACACTCACTACCTGCATCATCAAAAGCTCAGCCTTTGGCCGTTCCCAAAAGTCAACTAAAGAGGAAGTATGCATAAATCATTTGTTGAATGAGGACCGGATCGTTTATCTTGTCCTGTCCCAGAAAGCAACTCATCAACAATCAGAGCACATTCTAGTGTCTTGAGTATCGAATAGACATCACAAGTAGAGAAAAGGATTTTCATTTCGAAGAAGAACATTCATTATAACATCGCCATCAGTCATGCTTCATTTGAATCGATTTAAGACCGGCAACTGGAAACCAAATCACCCGCAGCATATTAAATTTATCTCCATTTCTATGAGCCCAGCAGAACCAGACAGACCCTTCACCCTGAAGGAAAATGATCTAAAACAACCGCAACTAAACTCAAATATTAATTCCATTAAAAGCCAACCAGCCCCATCGGGTCCCATCGATCTAAACCAAGTAAAATCAATTAGCAGTGAATCAGAAGGCTGTGGCTTAGAAGTACGCCAACCCCTCATCACACTATGGGGAATTTCCATACAAAGAGGTGGTTAAACTGGGTGTTCTAGCTTATTCTGAATTATGGGACAAGTTTTAGAACGTGCCTACATTAATCATTAAACATCATTTTGAGACCCAGAAGTCCTCTAGGTTCTCCAAAATGTCCTGGAGTTAAGATCTTGATGTCCTATAGACTCAATGTGATTTGATATGTAAGTTTCCGACATATTTAACCATCGTCCGAGCTTTGTAAAGCTGCATGATAGCATGCGCGATAAAACAGCCAAAAAGGTTATCTTTCATTTAATTCCACTTATTTAAATTTGGTATTCACTTCTTAATCCCACTAAAGATTTATCAAAATCTAACCCTTTTTTGTTGTTCTATTTACGCATTCCGATAGCAACCCAATTTCATTCCTTTATTCAAGAATACGATATTTAATGCTCTCAGAACTATTCTGAAGCTAAGATCATAAAGATCCACAGGCTGAATGAAGTCTTGAATAATGCACTGAAATGTATTATGAGTCCTAGAAGCTCAAGCGAGCTTCTTGACAATAAGCACATCATGGGTTGGTATCAATAAGAATTTTAATATTCTCGATACTGTTCTAGAGTTAAACTGAATTACGGCTTAATGAACGTCTTGAACAATGCACTGTAAATCGGTATGAATCCATGAAGCTCAAGAGAGCTTCTTGACAATATGCACACACTTAAATTGTTTTGCCGAGATTTCAACAGCCATGTAGTTCTACAATTTATTTTGATGAGATTCAGTAAAACAATTGCCGAGACTTAGCGAACAAATTAGATTTTTTTCTAATATATCAACATAAAGTAAATGCCTAGGTAATCGGTTGCTGGAGATTTTACCGAGCTAGATTGAGTGTACACATCATGGAACGGTATCAATAAGACATTTCTTGCTTTCCAAACCATTCTTGAGTCACGATAGACGGGGATACTTTCGAGGTAGTGGAGGAATTCGTTTACCTTGGATCCTTACTGACGGCTGACAACAATGTGAGTCGTGAAATACGAAGGCGCATCATCAGTGGAATCGTGCCTACTACGGGCTCCAGAAGAAACTACGGTCAAAAAGGATTCACCCCCGCACCAAATGTACCATGTACAGAACGCTAATAAGACCGGTGGTCCTCTATGGACATGAGACATGGACTATGCTCGAGGAGGACCTGCAAGCACTCGGAGTTTTCGAGCGACGTGTGCTAAGGACGATCTTCGGCGGTGTGCAGGAGAACGGTGAGAGGCGTCGAAGAATGAACCACGAGCTCGCTGCACTCTACGGCGAACCCAGCATCCAGAAGGTGGTCAAAGCCGGAAGGATGCGGTGGGCAGGGCATGTTGCAAGAATGCCGGACAACAACCCTGCAAAGTTGGTGTTCGCTACTGATCCGGTTGGCACAAAAAGGCGTGGAGCGCAGAGTGCACGATGGGCGGACCAGGTAGAGCGTGATCTAGCGAGCATTGGGCATGACCGAGGATGGAGAGCGGCAGCCGCAAACCGAGTATTGCGGCGTACTATTGTTGATTATGTCTTATCTTAAATGTGATGTTGTACAAATAAATGTATGTATGTATGTATGTACTTGCAACATAATCATACTAATACAAAAATGGTACAGGTATCGAAAGCTTTCAATCAACGGAACGAATCCGGGTTGCCTTGTTCCATGTTTCTCAGGAATGACTCGGCTAATAATGAATAAGAAAAAGGCGACTTGTTTGCTCGTCATTTCAGGCAAGTGTTCCACAATTTTTACGCTTCGCCGGCACAAGTGCTGTATGCTACTGTTGGGATGCTACGTGATGTGTTTAGTTTCGATATTCCACGCATTTCAAAAGACATTGTGATAGCCGCAACACGCAAACTGAAGCTCGTTCGCCGCCGGACCTGACGGCATTCCAGTTCTAAAACGTTGTGTAGCCAATCTCTGCCTTCCACTTGCGAGGCTATTCAATCTCTCGGCACAGCAATGTGAGTTCCTCTGCCGCTGGAAACTTTCTTATCTGTTCCCAGTCTACAAAAAAGGAGATAAACGGAATGTCGCAAATTATCGTGGAATCACCTCCCCTGTGTGCCTGCTCAAAACTGTTCGAGATTATGCTCTGTTCGCGTGTTGTAAAAATTATATCGATACATAACTACACGGCTTTTACCCGAAGCGCTCCGTGTTCACGAACCTGATGCAGTTTAATTCTAACTATTTGCGATGCATGGATTCAGGATGGCACGTCGATGCTGCGTATATGGAGCTAATGCTGCATTTGACCCATTATATCTTGCTTGCCAAGCTGGAGATACTTGGCGTCTCGTCAACGGTTGTGGATTGATTCAGATCTTACTTGGTGAATCGCTATGTACGGGTTAAGATTGGCGCGTCGGAATTGGTTGTTTTCTCAAACAACTCGGGAGTTCCGTAAGGCAGTAACCTAGGACCGCTACTGTTTTCGATCTTTTTAAAGGACGTCGCCTTTCTGATACCATTAGGATCCCGCGTTTTCTATGCATAAGATACGAAAATCTTTAAAATTATTAAAAGTCTCTCGGACTTTTGGGATCTCCAGAATATGTTAAGCATTTTTACTGACTGGTGCTCAAGAAATATCACCGAAAAATCGAACCAATGATGTTTGACTATGTTCTCTACGGACGCTGTCTTGTTCGTGTAGAGCACATAAAGGATCTCGGCGTTACCTTGGACTCACTTTCAGAATCCACTACAATGACATCATCTCCAGAGCCAATCGACAATCGGCTTTACTTTCAAAATTGCCGGCGAGTTCCGTGACCTGCTATGCCTCAGGTCACTCTACTGCTCGCTCGTGTGATCATTATTGGTGTCAAATTTAGTTGTTTGGTGCCCTTTCCATGCTAGCTGGATCACTAGAATTGAATCCGTTCAACGCAAGTTTGTGAGATATGCTCTTCGTTCGAGGAGGGTTGCCGTCTCTTGAGAATCGAACCATTAGAGGTGAGACGGACTTTTCGCCCAAGCTATGTTCGCTGGGAAGCTCCTTACCGGTTAATTGACTGGCCAACACTGCTTGCTCAGCTAAATATGTATGCCCCTGGGAGGCTTCTTCTTCGACTTCAATGTATCAGCTGGCGTGTTTCGTCATTGGTTACTTGGCCTTTTCCGTACCGTTGACCGTAACTTTTTAGTTTAAGTTTTATTTATTTAGACAATAATTGTGAGTTGAATTTTTCAATATACAAATAAACAAATAAATAAACTGACATACTACCAAGCCATTAAAACTTCCTCAAAGTACCAAGGATGCTAAATTGTCGATTCATGATTGACATGGCTGGTTATCAACAATGTGATAATCAATCGTTATGATTCAGCCACCATTCAAAAGGTATGGCTATCTACTTTTATTTGAAACTGGTAGAAACTCGATTGAACCTGTGGTTGGCTATCCGGAACGGAAAAACCGGGAAAATTCACGAGTTAAATGCATGTCGATTCATGTTAGGATGACTGGTTTTCGGCAATTTGGATACCACATTTTAAGATTGAACCACAATTTGTATGGCATGATTGTCTACATTTGAACAGAACAGACAGGAGACCGATGGGTGGTTGGCCAGTTGGGACGGGAAAACCCGTGAGAGTTGGCTCTACGGAAATTCAGATTCACCAGAAAAATGGTTGATTTCTGAAATTATACCTAGAGATCCACAATTTTATCGAAATTGCATACAATCATGAGTAAAGAGGAAATATGCAATCACCATATCGATTCTGCTACCGACTGGTCAGAAAACGGTCCTATAGATGGAGTTTATTCAATTCGATTGGAGTTTGTCAATTCGTGAAAGTTCTGCTTCCGAGCGACCAGAAAACGCTCTTTCGAATATTCAGATTCA